CACTCTTTCAAATGAACAGAGACCAACTACAAAAATTTGTACAGTATTTGATCACAGTGCACCACACAGAAGTTTTGCCAACTGCTCAAAAACTAGCAGATGAAATTCTTTCTCAGAATTCAGAAATCAATCAAGTCCATGGTGAGTCTGATACTACTTATTTCTTTTGCTTCATTTTCTCTTTGGTTTTGAGCTTTTTTTGTCTTTCAGGAGTGTGACCTGCTGTGGTCCTTTCCAAACTGAATTATTCTGTGATTCTATGGTGTTTAATAAAGTGTATTCTGTTACTGACCCTTTGCTTTTAAAGGTTTAGAAAGCAGTACTTTTTTGGAAAAGAGAGAAGAATCCCTAAGCAATGAGCCTGATGTCTCCAGCGGTGTTAATATGTGGCCTGGTCTGCTTCACGCTTGTGTTTTGCAGCTGTGAAAAACTAAGTAGTGGTATTCTTTGTATAGCCACATTGCTTAAAGGAACTATCCTACCAGCTTACCAATGGTATCTATCTGTTATTTTGTTCTTCTTGAACTAATCTTTTGACTTTTTGGTTTGTGTAATTTTGTTTTAATTGCAAAGCATAAAAACACCTAGGTGTCGCTGGTTTCTTCATCCATCAAATATACCTTTATTATCCTTTGGGATTTGGTTTCTGTATGAAGTCAGAAGAAACATAAGACCTTTATTTCAGTGCCATTGTCCTGTTAGTGCTGCAGCAGCCTACAGCATCAGCAAAGGTCTTGATCTTTCCTGCTCTTGCTGCTGCACGTGGTTTTGATGGCTCTCAGTTTCTTGTACTGAACATCTTACATTTCTTAAAGGGTGCTGGGTGTGACTTGAGGCTTCTGAGGTGGCTTTTCTGTGGATCCCGCTGATAAGTTTGAGGTGACCCATCTAGTTTATTAGAGTCCTGTGTTTCTGTAAGGTCACCTGGTAGAAATGTCCTTTCAGGTGAGCAGAGCTGCTAGCGTAAAGGCAGCTTACACGGGTGGAGTAAGTTACCTAAATACCTAAAAATACCTTTTTGGTGTGTTTACTGACAGGGACAGTTCGTGTGTTAGATATTGAAGAGGGATGACCACTCTTCCAAAGAATTTGCCATGCAAACACAACCAAGCTGCTTAATACTGGAGAAGGAAAACCACATGTGAGTTAGATACAGTGTAGGCAGAACAAAAGAAGGGAATCTTTCCAATAACAGGACTCACATGCAGCCTAGCTCCTCTCTTTAGGGGTCCAGTGACCCTAGCAGGTCCAGGCAGGTGGTGCTGCAATAAGGTCAATCTTGGGAGCAGTTCCCTCTCGGCTTTGGGGGCTATGGGGACGTGGCCAGAGGCAAGGTGACTGAACTGGTTGTTAGAGAACATAATGAGAAGGTGATTGGCAGAGCTGCCTGGTGGTGGAAAGAAAAGGAAGCTAAAGCAGATGCAGGATATTAAGCAATAGAGGAAGATATTTGGATGTTGTAAGCTGAAGGCGTGTATCACGTGAGTTGGTAATAGCCTGTTCATAAGGAACCTAAGGGGAAGGAATACTTAGGTTGAGCGTGAGTGGCACAGAAGACTCAAACAGTCAAGGGTGATTAGAAAAAAAGAAGGCAGGATATGAAAGGAAGGACAGATGATGGCTATGTGTGGCTGTATTAGCTATACTATGGCTAACGTAAGAGAAATGACAAGCTGTTGCAGAGTGCTTAAATTTCATCAGCTTTAAGTCTGTAATTATACTAATCATAGGCATGTTAGTCTTTGTCAGCTATTTTCTTATTGTCAAAATATCTCATTACTCATTAGTATTTAAAGTACTTTTTTAGAGATGTATTTGATGTTTATATCACAGTCCAAATAGTAAAAGGAATAGGAAACAAAAAACTAAGTTGATGATCAATTATGAAATTTCACAGTGAATATGAGTAGGGTAGGTTAAAATTATCCACAAAACTAAAATGTTTCTTGCACATGTTGCTGTTTTCCTAGTTAATGAGATTGCAGTGTGTGTTCATTGACTGTTGGTGTTTCTTAATAAATACCAAAAAATTAAGCAGAAGATTCAGGCAGCGTGAGAAAATAAACTGCTGTTATGAAAGAAAGCTGGGTTGTAAAAGAGGATCTGTAGTCTCCTGCTTTACCTATCAGACTCCCATAAAACCATGGCCTGATTTTAATTTTTTTTTAAACATGTTTTCAATGTTAAAAAGGATTACAAGATCCTTTTAAGGAAGAAGTAAGTTCCTCTGATTATGTAGCAAGTAAGCATTCTTCTGGGATTCATACTGTATTTGACCTTTAATCAAATTCCTTAAATGAGGAATAATAAAATTAGCCAAAAGAAATCTCAAAAAAGTAAATAAAAGAAATCTGTTTCTGGTTCTAATAGCACAGGCTGGTGAACGTAAGGTCACTGTTCACTCTGTCATGTCTGCTGTGCTGCAGATGTTCCGTTTGTAATACAAAACTGTCTTGTAGACCTGTCTTGCTTTGAACAGTTTAACCTTACTGAACAGTGTTTGTAGAGTAGTTATTTCAAGCACTGCTTGAAGGTACAGGTAGGTGAGAGGAAGAACTTACACAAACTTGCTTATAAAAGCAAGAGGAGACCAGGCACACAAACACCAGAAACGGCTTTGATTAAAGGCAAGTCCTGAATCTGGAGTTGGAAATTATTTTCAGTGTTACCTAGAGGTGTTCTAGTGTCAGGGGTTTACATACAACTTTTTATTTTACTTTCCTTTCGTCTCATGGTAGCTGTACAAGTTCTATTATGTATTTTCAGCAATAGGCAAAACAAAACAGCTCTTGAGTACTATTTATTTGTACATTACAATGATCTGGGACCTGGAAGAGTTCTGAGCACAGCGGTTTTGTTGACTTGCTTATGAGCTGGATAGGGAGATGGAACAGATCTGCAGTACTTTAACAAAAGGTGAATTGGATAGTTGTTCATTTGCTTGAAATTCTGCCTTGTGCAGCAGTCGATGATTGGCCTCGGTCACTTTCTAGATGAAGGAGGTTACTGGGGGAACTAGTGAAGTGACTTACACTGATGACTTGGGTTTTGAAGTGACAAGTTCTTTTGAGTACCTCTGTGGATGCAAATGATGCAATATCCTTTCTTGCTTCATGACTGAGCCTCACTGCAGGAAAAAATAAGGGAATAGTGCTAGAAGTATGGGAATGTGTTGTCTATTCAGTAACTTCTTCAGGAGAGATGAGTGATTTATTTGGAATCCTCTTCTGTATTTGCCATGCTAATTTTCACTTGGTGGTAATTACATTATGAGAGAGCTTCGAATATTGTTAAAGCACAAAAGCATCTCTTATATTTTTAGAATGTTTATTATGTTCTGATTTTCTCGTGTACTGCTACATCTTCCTGATGATTTAAAAACTGGAGATCTGTGGGGTCTAACCTTCTGTACTCAAGACAGCTGTAGATGTTCATACTGGTACCCTGAGGTCAGCACTGCGAAACTGTTGGCTTCACATTGGCTTTCATTTTGGGGCTGTTGACTCAGGAAGCTGAAGGAAGATTAGGATCCCACTTAGCTGAGGTGTTTTTTTCCCCTTTTAATTTTTGTGCCGTTGTAGCAGAGAATGCTGGGAGGTGGGTTAAACTAGGAAGAGAGCAGTCAGGATGATGGGCTAACAGCCAGATTCATCATCTTGGGTTTATCTTTTCTTAGATATGATACTTCCACTTAAGTAAATTGGTTGGAAGGTCAGAGCATGTTGCTGAGAATTTGAATGGAAATAGGAAAGTAACTGCAAGATGGGGGGTGGGGAAAGGTCTGTTTGCATGTTAATCTCTCATTAACATTGGTTTGTTATTATGTGCATAGTGTAAGATGGTCTGCCTTTTATTGGTGTAAGGACAGCCTAGCAAACCAATTTCATTTTTATATTTTAAGCTGTATTGTTCTTTCCTGAGTGTTTAGTGCTGCTGTTCCAATCTCTGCTCTTACAAGAACTATATGGATTACTCCAGGCTTTCTCCTATTCTCTGATTCTCTGACTCGCAATACGAGTCACTAGTACGAACCTACATGAAGATGAACTGAAATTTAAGAAGGAGGACCTGGGAGAAAGCAGTTTAAGTACATTCGTCTTCGGAGAAGCAGAGGTACCTGGGTAGTTGCTTCTGTATGTATCCAGGCAGATCTAGGTACATCTTCTGGAAACACTGATCTGTAATGTATATTAGCAGTGTGACAGTAGTGGCATTCAGGAAGGAAACATTACCAAAAAAAATTGCTTTAAAAGAAGATTTTGGAATATCTAGCATGGTTCCTCTGTTTTTAATTCCAAAGGGCAGTTATGAGGTGCAGGTGAATATTTCTTAAAATGAGCTTACTGGTTTTAACTGAAATTATGAATTATTAGTGTTTTTAACTAACTTAGTGGAAAGTTGTAGGGTTAGGATAGGGCTGAACAATTGAGTACAGCATGTTTCATATCTACTAGAAAAGAGGACATGAAATGTTAAAGAAGATACATTATTAAAAAAAAAAAGTGGAATCTTTAATATGGCCCTGCTTAAACTGGCAAAATTGAGAGACTAGGCAAAAGAAGACAGGAAATGGCAGGTGAGCTTCCTTCCAAGAAGTATGAAAGTGAGGTGCTCCAGTGCTTTGTATGAGAATTGTTTAGTCAACCAGTTTTGGGAAGGAAGTAGAAACAAGACTAGCCAAAACTTGAGGAATTTCAGAAACTTGAGAAAAACTAATAAGCAGTATAGTATAAAATAAAATGAAAGATCGATAGCGGCACAATAATATGAAAAATTTATGAATTTCATATTTTAAGGAAATTTTTTTGAGATACATTAAACATTTAAACTTGTTATATAGAAAATAGTGAGATTTTGGAATAGTGAAACAATGAAGATAAAAATAAAACTAAAATAATGCATTCTAGTCTGTACTGATAGGAAGTTTTTATCTGCCACACACAAGTAGACTTTGAAACTTTCTGCTTTGTGAGGCCTAGATTTTAGGAGGAGAAGTTACGTATCAGCAGCAGAGCAGATAAGTTGACGTTTTATAATGTATGTGCAGATGAAAGGGAAAGATTTTTTTGGAAGTTAAAGATTTGTTGTGGGTTTATTAACTTTCCACAGCAACTTAGCATTCCCTGTCCTGTCTTCATATTTTCCATTGATAGCATTGACTGCTTCTCAGCAGTTGATGTTCGCTGTGTGCTGCCGAATGGAGTTATATTCCACCCAAGAGTTCCCAAATTAAGTAAAAGATGAAGCGATTTATGTCTAAACTTTGAATCATTTGGGGAATCGAGGGCATAATAATATTTTAGAGTCATTAATTTTATGATCTTTGAGTTTGTATAATTATTGTTTAGAATAATTCTGCACACTAAGTTAATAAAATCAGTATTCTGTTGTGTATCAGCATACAGCAGTATTGGTTTCTGGCTGGTACCATTCAATCTTTGCATAGTACTAAGTCATGCTTTTTGCTTGTAATAATTTTTCCATATCTTCTTCCTAGTGCTCCATGACATGACATTTAATAAAATCTAACTGATCTACAATTCACTTGTATACTGAAATTAATTAAATTTGTATAAAATTAAGTTTGAAAAGGTTTCAATATGGATATGAGTGAGCAATTTGTCACGGTTTCATTTGAAGACAACTCTTGTGATACTTAAGAAGTAAGGATCAGGGAAGCAGTTTTTCTTAAAGACTACCTCCTGTTGATCTGTCCTTAAGTTGTTTGCCATATAGGCAATTTGTAGCTTATTTTAGTCCGTGCTCCTTGTTTTGCTTCTACTTACTTTCTAAGGTTAAGTTCTCAATATACAACAGTTCTTGAATATGGCTGCTCATTTTAAAAGCAGTTGCTCTTAAAATTGCTATGTAAATGATCAAAGTGTTTATTTTTTTAAATGTTACTGCTTCTTACAACCTGGGAGTTGATTATATTTTACACGTAACCTGTTATGACCATAAATGTAAACAGCTGTTACCCTGTTTTCAAATTTATTTAGGTGTTGCAAAGTTGTGCACAATATTCCTGCTTTGATTGCCAACATTGCAATTTAGTAATTTTAGTAAAAGCATGAGTAAGTATGTATGGCTGTATCTGTATGCTGACTATAAATGCTTTATTTATTATATTTAACTATAAGTACATGACACAAAACCTATTTTGAAGACCAGTCATGACCGAAGTTAAAGCCAGGGGTTGGAGGGAGGAGATTAGTGTGTTAGTGTCTAAACTGACACAGTTTAATTACAGGTTTTAATATTTTGTATAATTATACAGTACTTTTCACTTTCATAGTTCAAATGTGAACTAATTTACCCTCATGACAGCCCTCTGAAGCACGTAAGTAATACTGTTCCCCAGTTTACAAGCGGGGAACGGAATTTGGTCTTGGTACCAAACTGCGATGCAGAGATTTAATTCAGGGCTGCCCATGTTCTTTTTGCAGCAAAACTGTCCATCTGCTGACGCCTTGTGGTGCCCTTTTGGGGCTGAACTGCACCCCAAGAGAAGCCGCTGCTGTTGGGCTGAACCTTCAGCTCTGCCTGATGTTGAGCCTGAGCCTTCCTGATGGCTATTCCTAGGGCTTCATCTTCCAAGTCCAAAGGCAGCTCCCTCCAGTTGCTTCTTCAGATAGCTTCTTGTCTACTCACCTGGTCCCATGTCTTCAGAAGGAGAGTGGCACTTGCAGAAATCCTGTCCACTGCTCCAGGTTGATCTGTGTTTGAGTGGGAGAGGAGACAGGCTAGATCAATCAGTGTTTAACTGTCTGAAAGTGAACGTAGTGATCTTGAAAAGACGTATCTGTAGTAATGTGCTGAACAGCATCTGAGAGCTCAGACCCTTGGCTTGGTGTCTTCAGTCTTTTAGCCTACTAGCATGAAAATAATGCTGGTGTAAGTATAGTGATGCAAGGCCCCTGTGGAAGATGTATTTGGGATCATGGTGGGATAAGAGGCCTTGGTGGGGGCAACGCTGGTGGCCAAGGGCAGCAGGTGCCCTTGTTCCTGTAAAGGAACACTGTTGTTAAAGAATCTGTGGTAGCTGTGTTGAAATTTAACCTTCTAGCACAAACTGAGTGATGAGCTTTTGGTAAAAATGTAAACAGTTACAGAAGGAATTGTTTTTTCCCTCTATAGGGAAGCCTAGCTGAGGAGTCTGGGGCTATTTTTAATTCAATTTAAAACTGGCCATACTAAGATTATTTAAAGATAGATTTCCATTGAAGTGACGGGTACATGTAAGTGTATTTTGTATACTGGTGCTTTTATATACTTCCTTTTCACAGATCATTCCTCTGTGTTTTGAAGCAGTGAAATATTTAAACTATTTGGAAGGTGATACTGCAAACCTGGGTCTGTGGAACAGCTGCACTGCTTGTTCTTGTGTGTCTTAATTTCCCTTTTCATCTCGTTCTTTGCAACTGAAAAGTGACCAGTATGCGTTTCGTGTAGCTGACTGAAAGCACCTTAAAACTGACACGCTCAAGACAGAAGCACTCGCAGAAGAGGAGGCTATTCATTTCTTGGTGGTTGTACAATCTTGGGCTTGATTCCTGTCTTCTGAGACACTGTTATGGTTCCTGTGGAAGGCAGGAGAGTTCATTCACATCTTCAAAGATACAATTCCTTACTCATTTAAATTAATCTAAACGTGTATGTGTGTCAATATGTACACTGCATTGCTATGCAGCATTTCCAGCTTTAGGCTCTGAAGCTGGAGGAAGTTGCTGCTGCAGCTAGTAGACAAGACGTCCATCTGACCCTTTGAATCTTCTGGTTGTATTTTCATTAAACAAAGATTCCAGGATTCCCTGTGGCCGCTTAAAAGCTTCACCTACATGGCAGAGCTGCAATTGTAAGATGATGGCTTGAATCAATGTTTAATCTCTGAATATCTGAAGAGTTGCAGCTATCTTTGCTTTCCAGGTTCTCAGGACTTCTTTGAAAAAGGAAGTTTTTACAAATCTGATTGTGTAAATTTCCTTCCCTGCCGGTATTATTTTTATTTTTATTTTTTAATTTCTTTTTTTCCTGCAGAGGTAACATGGGCTCGGATTTAGAAGTGATAGATTGTGTAACATGGTTCAGTTTTTAACCTCTTCTCTAAACCTAATGGAGATAGAGATTACATGGTTGTGACAAGCCCAGGATCAAAATGTCAAGTTAGCTTGAGTCTTGGGCATGCTTAAAGTATTTTACATCTGGTAGGGTGATGCGCTACCTTGAGTTGTTTCCCTGACAGTCTAGACAAGTGCTTTTCAACCTTTTCAATTTGAATGCCTTTAAAAACAAAATAACCAGTGGAGGTACAGGCTTCTTCAGAAAAATACAGGTTGTTAGGTGGTGTAAGAACTTGTTCTAGTTTTGTCAGCCTTTAGTAGAGGCCACCAGTGGAAAATCGCTGATCTATACTGCAAAATTTGAGTTAAAGCAGCCTGTGGCCAAAGCACTGCCTGATGTAAACCTAGTCACTTCAGTTCACATATGGCTAATACTGAATTGACTCTGTGCTGATGACATTGCCTATGGAAAAAAGCCCCTTTGGAAGCACCACAGTCTTACACAGCTGTAACTCTTATTTATGATGGAAATGCATTTAGTGCTTTAAGACTTTGGATTTGTTTGGGGATTTTTTTACTCTTTGTTTAGCTTTGCAGAGCCATCACAGCTCAGAGGCACCGAGGGGATGATTTTCCTCATGTTCATCAATAGCAGCGCTCACTAGCAGTCACTTAAACCTGAGCAAGATTGCCGAAGGTACAGGAATTACACAGGTTTTTTGGGGAGAGTGGTTTTAACATCACAGTTGTTGAAATACTACATGAAATCTGATTTTCTTTGTAAAAGCATTCTAGTATAGCTGCTGAGCCTGGGAGGAAGAAAACTCACCTTAATTTTAATGTTTTGTTATAAAATATTTTTTTAAATACCTTTTCATAGCTGAATTTACAGGTATGATTTTTTTCAGTTTACACAGAAAATACATGGCTGTATTTTCTAAGTGCTTAAGACTGCTGAGAAGACATTAAGTCCGTTTTGAAGAATGTTTAGATTAAAGCCAAGACATTAAAAAAAAAATCCAAAAACCTCTTCAGTAGTCCTCTCCCCGGACCCATTAAACTCTCTTCTTCATATAGAATATAATGATTTCTTTTTGTTCTGTTTGCAGGTGCTCCTGACCCAACAGCGGGCGCTAGCATAGATGATGAAAACTGCTGGCATTTGGATGAGGAACAAGTCCAAGAACAGGTTAAACTCTTCCTCTCCCAGGGCGGGTACCATGGATCAGGGAAGCAGCTCAATTTGCTTTTTGCAAAGGTGTGTTGAATACTCTAAACCTTCCCTTTTTTCCCTCCCCCGTTCCCCAAGCCAGTCAGCACTTGTTTGAGTCTTGCTCAAGGTCCTGTTGTTCTAAAAAAAGACAAAGCCTTGGGAACATGATTGCAGCTTAATAATGCGTTGTACAGCAATGGACTGCAATCTGATGTGTCTTGATCAGTGTAAGAACATGAAATAACAATTCAACCATCTGCAGCTTCGCTGTTCTCTTCCTTCCCACTCCCAAGATGTTGGAGAAACCTGTTGAAATTAGTCTTGCATAATACACCTGTGGATTTCTTGTGGAAGAAGTTTTTGATTATTGCAATAGGCTACTGAAACCAAAAATTGTTATATTTGGGAAGGCAGACTATTTCTTGTGCTTAAACACTTCACATATATAAATTACATTTCCTCTTTAACAGAGGTGGAATATTTTACTCTGCAGCATATTCTTTGTCCTGTGATTTCTTTGTTTTTTTCAAGTTTGTATTAAAAGACTTGTTTCCTAGGTGCGAGAGATGCTAAAGATGAGAGATTCAAATGGAGCCCGCATGTTGACGTTGATAACAGAACAGTTCATGGCTGACCCTCGTCTGTCACTTTGGAGACAACAAGGAACTGCAATGACTGACAAGTATAGGCAGCTCTGGGATGAACTGGGTAAATGCACAGACTTCAAAATCATTTAGTTGTTCATATGTATAATGAAGAAACAATTACATACTTGGGGCGGAGAGAAACTTTATTGTGGTACCAGGTAAAGCAGGTTAAGAGTTTTCTGCAGTTCTCCTTGTTCAGTTTTAAGGTTGGGTGAAATTGAATTTCTGATCTACGGTGTGAGACAGTTACAGTTGGAGGAGAGGAAGCATGATATGAAACAAGTACAATTGCAACAGGTTGCAAGTACCTTAGGATATAAAAAGAATAAAGCAAATAGTGGAAATGTAGCTACCCAGCGGAGGATAAGTTTATAAGCCACTAGTGCTGAACTGAAAAGTTTAAAGAAGAAATCAATTCACAACTAGCGAGAAATAGAAAGCAAAAAGAAAAGATTCATTAAGACTATGAGAAGATAGCAACAAAGGAGAGTGTAAGTCCATTATTGAGTAGGAAAGGAGATCAATTAAGAGGGCTGGAACAATTAACACTGGTTTATAGGAAAGGTCAGTTGTGACCAGCTACATGACCTAGCTGTACAATGGAGAGAGGAGCACAGGCTGAAATCGGAAAGGAATATTTAAATTGGTACAGTCTGAGGACACTTCCTCTAGAGTGTTCCAGAAACTCACTAATGCAGTTTTTAACTGCTCTTTCAGAAGTTCTCAAAACTATAGGAATTTGTCGTAAAGAGGGGAAGTTCAAAACAACTTGAACATAAATGTCAACAAGATTTTAAAGATGGGTAGGTGAGTGGAAAGACTATTAAGTAACCTCAAGCATTGTGTTTCTTGGAGTAAGGTACTGGAACAAACTACTAACCAGTTGGAGTGTAAGTATGTAGAAGATAGAGGTGATAAAAGGCAACCTGAATTATTTAAAATATAGTGGTAAATAGTTTCTCTAAAAGGTAATCCACTGAGTGTATGAGTGAAGGGATTAATTTCTGTATCTCAGCTGCAGTAAGCTTTTGGATGCTGCCTTGGAGGTTTTTTCAGAACATCGTGAAGACGCACAGCTCAAATTGCCTTCTGGTTCATGGAACTTGGAGTGTTACTTGAGCTCTCACTCAATCTGGAAAGTCATTTCAAGTCTAGACTTAGATTTTGTCTTGAGATGTGTTCTGGTCAATATTGCTATGCCTGGCATATGTGGCATGGAACATTAAATAACAAACAAAACCTTACAGATGATCCCCTGTGGGACATTATGTAAACACTACAGAGAAGAGAGCCAAAGACCGTAATGCTCTTGATATGTTTTAAAGGTCCAAAATCAACTGAATGAAATTAAATCCAAGCAAGAATAACATATTCATTTAGAAAGGAAGTGTCAGAAGCAAAACTGAAGTTTTCTACTTTTGAAGATGAAAGTTGGCCATGACTGTTTGTGTCCTGACTGGTGGGGCTAAGACTGGATATAACCTCTTATCATAAATTGTTTGCTCTAAAGGAAGCATTAGACTAATAAAGCACTACCTATCTAGTTAAGATTATAGACTTCTGTGGTGGAAAGTCTTTATATCAGAGCAGGTAAAGCTCTGTCAGAGACAGTGTAGATATAACTACTTGTGTTCAAGTGTAACAACCCTTTTAGTATGTCATTTTTATGATGCCTTGACTTGTTGGGCAGTAACAGTTCTGCCAAGCAAGGGCACGTGGTTAGCTGGGCATGTACACAGCAAAACTGTATCCTACCTTACTGAGAACTGGAGGGTCTCATGCTTCATTGCTTATGTGGGTTGAGCTGGTAGGTGGTGGGAGAGGCAGAAATGTGTTCTCCATCTGTTACCTGTAGCAGTCTTACCACGTTCTGCCAATAAACATAAAAGGTTTTGTTAAATTTTCTTAGTAGCTCCTCTCCTTGTTTCATCAATTTCATGTTAACATCACTTTCCTGACAGCACCTGTCTGAAGGAAGAGGAGATGGAATCTCTCTGCCTTGCAGCATTGAATAAGCAGTATTTTAATTAATTGATTAGTTTACTTTTATTTAATCAGAATTACAGGTGCTATTCCCAAAGAGTATCAGTGCAGCCTCCAGCCTCACCACTGCCTCAGCTACTGTATTTGCAGTCAAAGGCAAATCTGCTGCCTCTAACAGTATCAAAATATGTTGATTGTGTACCATGGTTTAAATTACAAATACATTTCAATCCCTTCAGGTGTGCAGTAGGCTGAGAGTAGATCTTGGTTCTTCCACCTCCAGCTACTGTTTGTGTTGCTAAACTGTCTACTTCAGCATGCCACTAGGATTCCTTCCACTGGTAGTTAGCAGGTTCCCTCAGAATTGCTGTTAATTGGATGAATCTCTCCAGCTTGACTTCTACCTTGTGTGAAAGTTACAAGCTGCGATGAATTTTTTTCTAGGATGTCACCTTGAGTATCACTCGTGTCCCTTTTTCCAGGTGAAATGTGCATCTCTTATGGCGGGGTGGGGGAGGTGGGGAAAGAAAAGGTAAATGTACAAAAGTTGAAGGATATTTTAATGGAGACCAGAGTTAAATAGCAGGCTGCAGAAGGAAAGGCAGGCTGGCCCTAGCAACATATAATCTGTGCTAGTAGTGTCAGAGATAACTCAGACATTAGGTTTAAGGGGGTGATGTTGTTATGTTCTAAAATCATGTTGGCTTCCTGTCTTGTCATCTTCTATGATGTCAGAGAACTGAAATGTCAACAAAGAGTGTGAGACAGGCTTGTGCATACTTAACTTTTTGTATTATGTGTTTGGAGTAATCTGGGAGTGGCATATGTGTGTCTTTAAAAAAAAAAAAAGTTTTATCTCTCATTTATTTCACAGGTAGGTAGCAATTTAAAATTGTAGTTATGGAGGATTTTAGGATATTAGAACAATGTAAATATAGACTGCTTAATAAAGGCTGGCTTGCTTGCTGTGATATGCTGTCTGCCAAGTGCTAGGCATATGGCCACTTTGTCAATTCTATCTTGGCATAGGATTTTAAGCGTACTTAAATAACTTCAGCTTTGCTCCTTGACTGGGTCACTTGAGCCTTTCATTAGAACTTAACTGATGCTTCCTGCGTGGCATTGGCAAAGAGTACTGGAAGGACACGCTGGCGTTTGATCAGGGTTCCCGCTGAAGTTTATAGTGAATGGTTGACTTCAGTGCTAGTCATACCAGGTTTTGTGTTTGAAGGTGCTGATTTAAAATACAAAATCCCCCCAAAACCCCAAGAACAACAAAACCAAACAAAAAACCAACCAAGCAAAAAAATCCACACCCACCCAAACCCCACAAATTTATCACATCTAAGTATGAACCTGGCAGTTTTCTAATACAAAGTCCTAATTCTGTAAGCAGTTTGTGATTCAAAAGCCTTGGGTTAACAAAGAAGCCTTACATATAACCAGCTAGTTGTTCTTAAAGATGGTGAGGAAGAATACGATAATTATGTTGAGTAGGTTGCCCTGTTGTACATCAAAGAATGGGTTGAGGTAAATACTACTTGCAGAACTCCAGAGGTGTAGTACTGGTAAAATCAAGGTTAGAGGTCAAAGCTATAAGGCGTGCTCATACACTTTTGATACTAGAAGAATTTAGATGCAACTTCAGTGATACGCTGGTGAACACTTCCAGCTTGCGAAAGTAATATATGAATGCGCTTTCCAGAGTTCAGAGCAGAGTTGGAATTCTTCACGTAGTTGCTGTTTAAATTGTGTCTCTAGGTAAATTTCACATACTGGTCTTTAGGTGTTTAACTCCTGGTGACCATGGTTGAAGACTTGAGTATATCAGAACGATTAATTACATGAAGTCCCTTGGTTTGCCTTTTTAATTAAGTTGCATTGGTGAAACGGGGGGATATGGAAGTGCATAGTAAATATCTGCAGATGCCTGTTGGGCCACTGTCTCTCATTTGAAGAAAATGTCAGTTAACCTTCTTTGTAGTCTTGAGGGAAAAAATGAACCATGCAGTCTTACTACTATAGCAGTCACTTGTTAATATTAATCTATGAAAAAATTAAGTAAAAGCTTCTTTTTATTTATAAAAGTGAAAATATTTCCTTAAGAAAAGGGGAAACTTTGACTTTGTGCCCCAATCCAGGGATCATGATGACTGCAAGTCTCTGCTTTGGAATTAAATGTTGAGCACTGCCAGATGCCCGATACTGGGAAGAGGCTGAGTTTTGTTGGCAAATGGGATCTGAAAGTTAATTGGTGTTTTCTGCAGGCTTCTGGCTGTGAAATGAAATTGGAAGCCCTTTAGCCACATGGATAATACAGGACCTGAATACAAATGTCACATGTCACCATCAGGGCCCACTGTGAAACAATAGTGTTACCACTTGAACACTGCGCCATTACGGATCATTTAAATATGGGGATTACATTTAAACTAAAAGCCCCATTTGCCTTTTACTGCAATTTAAATGTCCTCTTAGCAAAAGCTAAGTGACAAATTAAATGAAAAAAGTGCCCACATTTTTAAAGCTGTAATGCAAAACAACCTTTTATTGCTTCTCATGTGCCACGAATGAATCATTATACTTGTCAACCCTAAACCAAGCCATAATTGGAGCAGCTACTGTTATCAAAGTGGGGCTGCTCTTGTGACAGCTTAATAAAGCTGAAACTGTTAAATTAAATCCCAGATGCTTAATCTGATGAAAGCAGTCAAGGAGAAGAATCCAAGACAAGTATCTACTGCTTGGTGGAGTGATGGAGCCCAACAGCTTGTCAACACGTAGATTACAGGATCAGATTTTCTTTTGGCGAACTACCATTTTCAGTATCTTTATATCCTTCTGCTTGCCTTTCTGGTGAAGAAACTTCATATAATTTGCATGTTTCAAAACAAACATTTCTAGTAGATTTTATCCATTTTGATATTTAAGAAGTGCTTAAGGGGGAAAGCTAGATTTTTTTAAAGATTAGTTTCTTGTGGAACAAAAATATGATGGGGAGGAGGGCATGTCCAAAGAGCTCTTACAAGGCAGTGGATAAAACTGGTCAGTGTGTTCTCAGTTTGCATCATGCTGATC